TATCAGTATTAGGTAGCAGTTTGATAGTATGCACCAATGAGCCCTGACTGACCCTCAGGGGCTAATGGGTGGGGCAAAAAAGGGTTGAATTGACTGAAATTCAAAAATCTTCTTCTCAAGACCCAGATATGGGAGAATCAAATACTCTTCATAGATGGAAGGGTCTTAAGGTGCTTTACCAAAATTGTGAATTTCTTGACCCTGGGGTCTCACGTTTCCCCCTGGGGAGGGGGTAAACTTTACTATAGTTTATATAGGGAAATCACATTTTGGACCAACATTTGTTTAATTTCCATTGGAAGTAATTCAATTTAGGTTAGCATTATCAGTATTAGGTAGCAGATCAGTATTAGGTAGCAGTTTGATAATAAGCACATATCAGCCCTCACTGACCCCCAGGGGCTGATGGGTGGGGCCAAAAAGGGTTGAATTGACTGAAATTCAAAAATCATCTTCTTCTCAAGACCCAGATATGGTAGAAGCAAATACTCTGCATAGATGGAAGGGTCTTAAGGTTTATGACCCTAGGGTCTCACGTTTACCCCCTGGGGAAGGAGTGGATAGTATGCACCAATGAGCCCTGACTGACCCTCAGGGGCTAATGGGTGGGGCAGAAAAGGGTTGAATTGACTGAAATTCAAAAATCATCTTCTTCTCAAGACCCAGATATGGGAGAATCAAATACTCTTCATAGATGGAAGGGTCTTAAGGTTTATGACCCTAGGGTCTCACGTTTACCCCCTGGGGAAGGAGTGGGGGGGGGGCAAAATTTATTATGGTTTATAATGGCAAATGATACTTTGAATATTACATGTTAATAACTTGAATGGAATTATAACCTTGAATTGACAGTTTGATACTTTGAAAATTTTGAGCCAGCCCTCCCCCCAAGGGCTGTAGGGTGGGGCTCAAGGGAGTCAGTGTGCTAAAATTTCTTCATTTTCCTTGTTTAGAATCAGAGGTGCTAGTTTCAAATCCTTTTTAGTCTGAAATCTGTATGCTTGATATTGAATAAGGTGGTTTTATTGTTTTTTGTCACTTTGAATAATATTTCTGTTCATGTTAAAAACAAAATCAACTCTCTGTATTAATATATCAGGTGACCGTAAAGGCCCATGGGCCTCTTGTTTTTTTCCAAATCTTTGAATAATAATTTGAAAATGAAACTTACAACATACGACTGATACAAGCCCCATGGGCCCCTTGTTATCATTTTCATCAGACAGACATCAGATCTGTTCTGCTTGTAGTTCATGTTAAAAACAAAATCAACTCTCTGTATTAATATATCAGGTGACCGTTAAGGCCCATGGGCCTCTTGTTTTTTTCCAAATCTTTGAATAATAATTTGAAAATGAAACTTACAACATACGACTGATACAAGCCCCATGGGCCCCTTGTTATCATTTTCATCAGACAGACATCAGATCTGTTCTGCTTGTAGTTCATGTTAAAAACAAAATCAACTCTCTGTATAGCAGATCAGTATTAGGTAGCAGTTTGATAGTATGCACCTGTGAGCCCTGACTGACCCCCAGGGGCTGATGGGTGGGGCCAAAAAGGGTTGAATTGACTGAAATTCAAAAATCATCTTCTTCTCAAGACCCAGATATGGTAGAAGCAAATACTCTGCATAGATGGAAGGGTCTTAAGGTTTATGACCCTAGGGTCTCCCGTTTACCCCCTGGGGAAGGAGTGGATAGTATGCACCAATGAGCCCTGACTGACCCTCAGGGGCTAATGGGTGGGGCAGAAAAGGGTTGAATTGACTGAAATTCAAAAATCATCTTCTTCTCAAGACCCAGATATCGTAGAATCAAATACTCTTCATAGATGGAAGGGTTTTAAGGGGCTTTACTGAAATTGTGAATTTCTTGACCCTGGGGTCTCAGGTTTCCCCCTGGGGAGGGGGTAAACTTTACTATAGTTTATATAGGGAAATCACATTTTGGACCAACCTTTGTTTAATTTCCATTGGAAGTAATTCAATTTAGGTTAGCATTATCAGTATTAGGTAGCAGTTTGATAGTATGCACCTGTGAGCCCTGACTGACCCCCAGGGGCTGATGGGTGGGGCCAAAAAGGGTTGAATTGACTGAAATTCAAAAATCATCTTCTTCTCAAGACCCAGATATCGTAGAATCAAATACTCTTCATAGATGGAAGGGTCTTAAGGTTTATGACCCTAGGGTCTCCCGTTTACCCCCTGGGGAAGGAGTGGATAGTATGCACCAATGAGCCCTGACTGACCCTCAGGGGCTAATGGGTGGGGCAGAAAAGGGTTGAATTGACTGAAATTCAAAAATCATCTTCTTCTCAAGACCCAGATATGGTAGAAGCAAATACTCTGCATAGATGGAAGGGTCTTAAGGTTTATGACCCTAGGGTCTCACGTTTACCCCCTGGGGAAGGGGGGGGGGGCAAAATGTATTATGGTTTATAATGGCAAATGATACTTTGAATATTACATGTTAATAACTTGAATGGAATTATAACCTTGAATTGACAGTTTGATACTTTGAAAATTTTGAGCCAGCCCTCCCCCCAAGGGCTGTAGGGTGGGGCTCAAGGGAGTCAGTGTGCTAAAATTTCTTCATTTTCCTTGTTTAGAATCAGAGGTGCTAGTTTCAAATCCTTTTTAGTCTGAAATCTGTATGCTTGATATTGAATAAGGTGGTTTTATTGTTTTTTGTCACTTTGAATAATATTTCTGTTCATGTTAAAAACAAAATCAACTCTCTGTATAAATATGTCAGGTGACCGTTAAGGCCCATGGGCCTCTTGTTTTTTTCCAAATCTTTGAATAATAATTTGAAAATGAAACTTACAACATATGACTGATACAAGCCCCATGGGCCTCTTGTTATCATTTTCATCAGACAGACATCAGATCTGTTCTGCTTGTAGTCACAATTAAGAGAAATACTCTGGTTATGAGAAAGCGTTTTGCCTTGGCATCATCTTAAAAAGAAAATCTTGATTTGGAAATATAATAATAAACACTTATAAGTCTGTGACAAAGGTTTTCTAACTTCATCATCAGACATTTGAGAGAAAGCTAGGCTGCTGATTTTGTACTGAATTTGATATGTTGTTTGACTGTTTCAGTATACAAAGTGTCGGCCGGACGTTCAGGAACATTCCCGATGAAGATTTACGCGGATCTGCGATCAATGAGGAAGACGAAAATTAGCACTTTTGTCAAATATGACCTTGGAAACAACTGTGTGTGTGGCTCTATTCCAACAACAGGTAATATATCTCTTGTTCTCTTTTATTTTAAAACACCATATCTGGAAAATCTTGTAATACCCAATGATACTACTCTTCTCTGGAGAGTAGAGGATGTGTCTAATACCATGAGAAAACTAAGAGAGCTTGACCCCACATATAGCCTGCTATAGTAAATCTGCTAAAAGAAAGAGTGAGCTTAACTGCTTGGGAAATATCATAAAAACAATTAACAGATGGCATTAAGATCTATCTGAAGTTAGGATGTGAAGCATCTGTACTTGTGTGGAAAAAGATTGATATTGATGATCAAATATAGTTCCTCTTAATGAAAATTTGTTTATGATGTGGACAGGAAAAATAATTGTCTTCATCTCATATAGGTGAAACAGTTACAGCGGAATTAGTCTGGACATTTTGTCCCTAGTAATGAAGTTTTCCAGAATGCTTATATAAATGCACAAAAGTTATTTAACTTTTTAGGTCACCTGAGCTTTGCTCAAGTGACCTATTCCAATCGCTTTTCGTCCGTCGTCGTCCGTCGTGCTTCGTGCGTCGTGCGTAAACTTTAACATTTTCAACTTCTT